TGTTGGGGTTGTTTGTTTGTTTGTTGGGGTGTTTGTTGGTTGGTTTGTTTCTTCAACTTTGCCAAACTATTATATAAACTATTGCAAATATATTATTCTAATTCAGCTTTAACAACTTTGAATGGAGTACATAGTTGTAAGGAGTATAATGTTTAGGGTGTCTTGAATTAAGACAAAATATATATGATTTTTTTTTTTGAAAGTCCGGATTTTTTGAAAATTGTCAAGTCTTAAAGCAGGCTCACTCCAGCCATATGTTAAACAATTAAAAAGGCAAAACTACCAGAATCAAAAACAAACAACTTCCACACACAACAAACAAGCTAAACAGTATCCTCTTTCCTGAAAGAACTTCTGGGCTTCAACTTCAGGACATTTTTTTCCTACCAGACAAAACGTGTTTCTCATTCATGTTTAAGTGTGGCTTTCGGGCCATTTTTACTTTTTTTGTTGATTGATTAGAATCGGAAATCTTGGTGCGGGGAGCGACTTTGTTCCATTCATCTACCGTATCGGGGTATCGGCAGTGGATCTCTTTTACACGTTCGATTCTGTAAGTCAAATCATTCAATAAACTTTGAAAGTAATAAAAGTGAAAAATTCTCACATAGTGCATCACTTTCCCCCAACAAAATTGGCCATTTGGGTTCAGGGAGCGATGTTGCGCCCTCCATGTACATAGCCGGGTTACCAGCTAATTTGTATGCCCATGTTTTAAGTCAGATTGTTCGAAAACTTGTCCTGTGTATAAAAGCCTGTGAACGGATTTCTGGCTGGTTGTACTGGCTGCTGTTTTTGTAAGTACCTTTCTTGTCTTAATAATTCTGCCGACAGTCACTTGGCATATCCAGCTATCCTGTTTACCACTCCGTCTACGAGACTTTCTATTACATGAAGAGGTTCCTTGATTACGACTTCCTACGGCATCAGGCTGTTGCCAGGCTATGGGCTGAGGTAACCCGAGACTTGGCCGAGTCGGTCATCCTGCCCTTTGACTGTACCGATTACGCGGACAAGATCACGGGGTCGATGGACACAGTGAAGGCGGCGTACGAGACACAGATGAACAACAAAGGTGTCACTTTTGGTGAGTGGCACATTTAAGAAGTGTTCATGAATATAGGCCACAGTTTTACATAATTCTTATCCGCGAGGCCATTATTCTAGGAAACATTTAATGTCAATTTGGCTACAAAACAAAACATTACGCAATAAAACCAACCCATTAAATAGAAAGACTAAAATTGTAAAGAATAAATAAGAACTGAAGCTTTGCATGGTGGAGATTCGATTGGTAAGTTTTTGTGATGACACCATGAAGGGGTAATCTCTTTTGAGAGGTGTCTGGGGAAAAATTTGGTCGACATTTTGACCAGTACGGATTGGTTGTGTTCAGGAAACACGTCCCAAATAGAACTTTTTTTGACCAGGAAATATTTGTGAGCCAAGAAAGCGTCCATGCGATATTCATTACCGTTAGTAATATGAAAGCATCAGTGCATTAGATGTAATAATTGTTACGTTTCCTCTCTTATAGAATACATCTACTCTGCTCTGGCTAACTTTTCAGCTGCCGCCACTGAATTTGAGAAAGTTATTTCACACACCGATAAAAAAGAGTAAGACTTTATCATTTAATATCAGAATAAGGAAAATTTGTCTGAATTGGTTAAACGCTGGCACTTGCAAAAGTTATTTCAACGTATAAATTTCAAATGGTCTATGTCAAAATGTAGCAGTTTCTGATCTTACAGTTTGATGGCCGTGCGTCGAGTGAATGATCAACTAATGCAACTTGAACGAGCTTTCATTGACCCACTTGGGCTTCCTGACCGCAAGTTTCTCAGGTAAGAATTACTATTAAGATTAACATAGATCATGCTCTTTTGGCCGGATCCACGACCATTTTTTTTGGGGGGGGGGCACGTTTTCGGGGGGGGAGGCAATATGTGAGATATCAGATGTAACAGGGACACAAAAATGTCTCACTTTGGACCCCTAATTTCTGGAATTACCCTTTTATTTTTCTTTGGGGTGAGGCTACAGTTAGGGGCTGTTTACACGCTTTCAAGGGGAATGAACACGAAGAGAAATTGGCTTTTCCCTTATTAAACAAAAAAGGCCAGGGGCTTCCCCCATGGGCTACTGATTCGTGTGCTGCAGGCTATGCTGTGGATTACAGAAACTGCATTCGCGCTCGATGGTTACGCGGCCAGGAAAAAGCAAAATTCCCAAAATGCTCCGCTATATTCCCTGATACAGCTCATGTTTAAAAAAATGGTCTGCATGTATTCAGGAATTCATGGTATCCTATGCCTGTCTTAACGTACAATTTTAGTAGGCATTTGCTCACAGACAGTGATATTTTGCTAACGCCGTAAAATGTAAATAATATTGGCAACCTGGTTAGAGGGTAACCTCTCTGATAAACTAATGCTTCCTAACCCTAACCCTAACCTGGTTAGAGGGTAACCTCTCTGTTAAACTAAAGCTTCCCTAACCCTAACCCTACAACCATTAAATTCTTGAACTGTAAGCCTAACTTTATCTATTAAACTTAGGAACCCTAACCCTAACTCGAAATTCCTAACGTTAACCCTATCTATTATTGATACCAAACCCTAACTCTACGACCATTAAATTCCTGAACCGTAACTCTAACCCTACCCATTAAATTTTAGTAATTCCCAACCCTAGCCCTACCCTAAAATCCACAAACTGGTAAGGAACATTTTCTGTAAAATACCTCTTTATCAGGTTATTTACAACTGCATGAGGATGTAAGAATTTTTTATTCAGAAAGGACAGAAGTGGCCTCTGTTACCAAACCACCAAAATCTAGTCTCAAAAGCAAGGAAAATTGTGCGTGATTGCCGCGATTTATCAGTGATCTGAGACATTCGCTAGGTTTTATGAGACCTCCTTCAACACTATCGCGCTGCCACTGCCCCTGCTTAGATTGCTGTAAATAAAAAGGGAACCACATGTGAAGGCAAGACATAACTGAGGTGTTTTTCCAAGCTCATGCAGATTATATTCTAATTACTATATATCATTCCAAAAGCATGCAAATGGGTTTTTGACACAACGATTATTCTATAGTTTTGGATGAAAATTTCACTTTCCCTGAGCGGAACCCTTCGTCGAGATGCAAACGGCAGCCAACAAATCACTCCTACAAGTTACAATTTATTTCCAAATTTTCAAACTGCTGTTTGTTATAATTACAGTCATCAGGTGGACTCTATTACGATGGCGACAATTCAGTTGTTTCTAAATACTTTCAACACTTTAAAATGCTGAATTCCTCATTTATGCATTAAGCTAATTAGAACATCATTATTGATGAAAGAAAAAAAATATATAAAAGTTATGTGGTGTTG